ATATGAAAAAGTCTTGAGATTCAAAGAGGGAGTTTCTTTTACAGAAGAAATTGAATTCTTTCAAATATTAAAAAAATAGATTAATTTTTATAGAGATCAATGTATTTATTAATAATTCATTCATTATATTTTATTTATATGATCTAAATAATTTTTATATACACGCAGAATTCTATCCATCCTTTTCGTTCAGAAATCTTTTTGATCATAAAATAAAATTATCCATTTTATTTTTTACACAATTTTATTATTATAAAACGTTTGATAAAAATAAATGAAGATTGATCTATCCAAAAATTATAAATAAATATATTAAATATATAACTGATTACAAAATCCTATGAAACAAAACTGTTGAACTTTGAACGCGAAAGATGCCCGGCAGACTCATTACACGAATCACAAACACGATGGTATTGTGATGATGCGGATGAGTCATTAGGAACAGAAGGATCATATAATGCTTGTAAAGGAGACATAAAAACTCGAGCAGACGAACATTTGTCACAAAAAACTTGTCCACATCGTCTAAAATATTTTTTTCAAAGAAAAGAAATCAAAAATCAGTTAGTCAACAAACTTTTAAGCAAAATAAATGACAATAGCGACTAAAATAATATCATTATATACCTGCAATGATGTTTTCTAATCCAAAAATTAAATTTCTTTTGGCATTGACGACACTCTTGTACATTTTCATCATTTTCCCATTTTGGATGTTTAAGGGTGCTTGCAGGAACATTTGTAGTATTTAAACCTATCTTTGGATATGCTCTGTTAGGCGTTACCATTCCTGGTATATTACAAAATGAAGAATTTTGAAAATTTAATTAGTCTAAAATTTCAAACCACAAGGATTTATTTATTATATGTACATGTGTGCGTGTATTACCATTATTTGTAATATCGCTGTTTGGTTTTTTTATTTCTAATCCAAGTTTATTACGAGATGATGCAATTTGAACACCGTTGTCATTTTTTGTCAAACCTTCTAAACCTTCAGCATGTTGTATAAGAGCAGCCATAATTGAATTGGCCTCTTGTTTTTTTTGAGTATTTATTTCGGCTAGATATGTAATAAATTATTTATTTATCGATTACCATTTAAATTTAATAAAGTAAAAAATAATGATCCTGTCATTTTATGAAAACAAAACAAACATTTAATTCCAATTTGTAAAATCCTTATTGCTTCTTTATAAGCTGCAACCTGCCCATATGGGTCATCTTTTCTTCCTTTTTTGTTATTTTGATAAGTTTGAATTATCATTTCAGCTTGTTCGATATAGTTCAAATCATACAACTGAGATTCTTTAGTGAACTGTAGTCCATTGTCGCTAAGACTCATTCGGCGTTTCATCACACGAGCCCATCGTCTTCTTCTTACCCAGTTGTTGGCATTTGGAGGTGGATAAGCGGTCCATTCTGAAACAGGTTCATTAAAACTTTTAGCATATTGCCATCCTTCCTCATCTACATGTGGATAAGACATATCTATTTGCCATTCATCCACCCAAAACCATTGTCTATTCTGTAATTTTGTAGTGGTTGCATTAGAAATTATTGATATCGATGAAGAATTAGGTCCAACAGGAAGTTTTACATCCTCTTTGGATGATGGTTGACCGCTAGGATGAAGAGACCAAGCTACACGATTATCAGTTTTCAAAAGATTTGCTGCTGAATATTTTGGTGGTCCACGGAGTGCCATTGGAAAAACCGAAGATGCTCTTTGGTTTTCATGAAGAATGATTGGTACAGATATATGAAAAGTAAAAACATCATATGGTTGATTGATTGGTGGTAAAGATATTTCGAGATCTCTAAAAGATTTGGCTAATGTATTTCGGTTCAAGGGGATTTTAAAAAAAAATTAAATAATCAAAAAAAAAAAGATTGAATTGTAAAATTCTAAAAAAGAAATTCATTATATACGTTCAGGGATTGGTCTTCCTCCTTTCCACCAGTCACGTTCAGCTTTTTCTAACAATTCGCAAATATAAACTTCATTGCTTGTTGCTGCTGCATCATAAGCAGTTTCTCCAAAACTGTTTTTGATAAAAGGATTGGCATCGGCATAATTTAAGAGATATTCGACTATATCAATATGTCCCTTTGATGCAACATTCACTGATATTTTTTATTTATATATATATAAATTAGAGAATAAATACTCGTTAAAATATTGCAACCATCATCATCATAAAATTATGGATTAAAAAACACTTACTTAAAGGTGTGATATTTCTATTATTTTCAACATCAACATCAGCTTTAGCATACTCTATCAAATACCTGACTATATAATAATGTCCTTGTGCAGATGCATTATGTAATGCAGTCCATCCATCATTATCTTTTTGTGAAACATTTGCATCTTTTTGTAAAAGATAATCGACAACCGATGTATGACCATTATAAGAGGCTTTTAAAAGAGCAGTCTGTAGGTTTATTGAATGATTGAATTAATGAGTTAATTATCGAATCATCGTGTTAATTGTCGAATTAATTATTGAATAAATAAATGTAGTTTTAAAATTTTAAATTAAATTTATCTTACTTCGCCAGTCTGATCTTCTAAATCAACAATGGCACCAGCACTTTCTACTAGCCACTTAACAACATCTAAGTGGCCACGTGATGCAGCATAATGAAGTGGTGTTAAACCTGAAGATGAATTTGCAATATTGGCACGCGAGAAATCTGTAACTTTCCCACCAGAACCTTTTGGCGCTAAAATTTCTTTGACCCTTGCTAAATGACCACTAGAGGTTGCTTCATAAATACTCATATTTTCTGAATCCCTAGAGTAACGATAGGTATTGTTGTTTATAGAACTTGGGGGAAGTTTAACTTGTTTAAAATGAATATTTCCATAATATTTATGAATTTCTCCTGGAATTGGAGGGTAAACAGAATCAGGAACTTTTGCCACGGGTGATGAAAGCATTTTTTTTTTTTTATTGAATTAAAAGAGAGAAAAAAAAATGATTTGATTTGACCAGTTAAATACCGAATTCTGTGTAATGTAAATCATGAATTTCATTGATTGATGCATTATGAAATTCTCTTTTTATTATTATAGTAATGATCATGTTTTGTTTTTCAAGGAATATTCCAATTCAGTTGGTAGAGATCTTCAAGGAAAACTCTAATGAACACTATTATTCTAAAATACTTAAAAAAAAGAATGAAGGCGACCGCAACGAGTGCGAAATCCTATTACTATTATAAAATCCCGAAATTCTGATAAAATTTTAGAATGTCTGATAATAATAATAGTAATAGTAATACACTCGTAAAAACTCGATAAGTCGAACGCAGCAATCAATTGTTTAAAGTAATCGGTAATATAAATAAATGAAAATAATAATATTTTAGGTTTCCGGTTACACGTGTAGATTTTTGGGAAATTTTAATTTGATGATCATTGTTTTTTTGTTATACATTCTATTTTTCGATCGGTGAATACCTGATTGGACAACTTTATTATTATCTAATTAATTGGATATCATTCAAATAAGTTATATGTATACGTCCGATTGCTTTTTATTTATTGTCATTATTATCATGTAAAAAACACGGAAATGTATATTTATTAATATAAATGGGAGTTTAATAATGGAAAACATTGAGACCACAGAGTAAAGTTTTTACAGGAAAGGTTATTTTCTTGGTGAAGAAGCAAAGGATTAGTTTTAAATTTTTGTTTACATTTTGTAAAAGGATTTAAGTGTTTGGGTGTAAATGTAACGTGTTAAGTTGTTTGACAAAGTATAAGGTGTTAATAGTTAACCAAATGTAAAATGCAGACATTTATTAACTAAAGTTGTTAACACATTTTGTTATTTGTGTTAAAGTAATTGTTGTAAACATATGGCTGTTAAATAAGCAATTTAGGGAGCCTTGTAAAGAGACCAAAGGAACTTTAGAAAAGCATTGCCACTTTATAAAAGAGCCACATTTATTGAATGATTATAAATCATACCATAAAATGTACTTACAAATTTGCCAATGCTTTCCAAGTACAAAAAGAGGCAATAAGCAAGAAAATAAATTTGTAAATAACTTAATTGATGAGTATGGAATATGAAAGCTTGCAATTAATCAATGAGTGTAGCTCAAAAGTTGATTAAATCTCGGCTATAAACAATCAGCATTAACCAAAAAGTTGCTTTGCAATATGTGACAAATATTTTTAATATTAATTGGTTCTAAAATTTTATTAATATTAATATAGTAATAGGTGCTCAAGTCTCAAACTTTTATATATTACGTGCATTAGAATTCTAGTGATATAAAAATAAATGCCACTCGAATAGATTTGGCCCATATGAAAAAATCTCTGTAGCCACAATAACCCATCAAATAATAATTGACCAACTTTAAAACCTAAAAAGAAAATATTGTGTGCTTATCAAAAAATTATTGAGACGATATTTATCGAGTAAACCGACTTATCGAATTAAATTACTTAAATATTAAGAAAATAGGGTGAAAATTTTGGCCGACTTATCGAGTTTATATATGTATATATGTAATTTTGGCATACCTTAAGTCGCACGTAAAATAAATTTTTTAATTCTGGTGAATCACGCGATATAATTCATCCATAAAATTAAAAAAAAATCTTGAAAAATTTCACGCGTTTTTTTTTAATAATCATTGCATTGGATTTATGAATATAAAATAATCCCATACAAATTTTTTTGTTTAAAGTTTCTCTTGAAGGACCTTTGACTTGTTGTGCTTTTAGGCGAGAGGCATTCATTTTACCGACAACACGTGGCGCCATTTAACCTCCACATAATCAAACAACAAATAAAATGCTAAAATGGCACGCTGCGTGTTGTCGGTAAAATGAACTGTCGGCAAAATAATTGTCGGTAAAGTAATACGTACCCGTATTATTAATATCTTAGCAACCCAAGATAATTTTAAAAACTAAAAACCCTTAATTCGAGAATTAATTGAAGAAAGAGAACATAAAGGCATCTTCTATCCAAATTTTCACTGTGAGCTTAAGGGCGCTGACATATATTAGCTAATATCGATTTAATAGTAGCGCCTACCAGGTAAGATATTTTGATCACGTGTATGACAATCATTTGCCTTTTTTAGATATGAATAGTAAAAAAATATATTTCCGTTGAATAAATTAATTTTATTAAAATAAAACGAATAAATAAAAAATTTGAATAATTCGATAAATCAATAAAACAAATAAATAAAACGAATAAATAAAACGAATAAAACGAATAAAACAATAAATAATTCGAATAAATAAAACGAATAATTTGAATTAAACAATAAATAATTCGAACAATTCGATAAAGCGAATAAATAAAACGAATAATTTGAATAAAACAATAAATAATTCGAATAATTCGATAAACGAATAAATAATTCGGTTTATTGCATAAATTCGTTTTAACAAAGCATCGTCTTAACAAGTTTCAACGGTACGATCATGTCCATATATGAAATGGTATGTGGGGCAATTAAACGTGTTGCAGAGTTTTATATCATGTTTGTCTTTTCTATCGTGATCGAAAAAAGCTTTTTTTTGTAAAAATGTGTCAATATTTTTTCTACATATAAAAAATGAGCCGTCAAACCTTTTTATTTAGCCCTAAATTTAGTAAGAAACCAAACTATGATTCACCAACAAATAAATATCAAGAATTTTCTAATGCTTATGTATATAGTATTATAGTGAAGACAGGAAATGGTACCCCTAACTATGCTGATGTTTGTCGTGAAGCAACACAATAATGGAATAGAATTAAAAAAAAAAGCACAACAGAAATTGATGAAATAATCAGAAAATACCTAATCACACAATTTAACTTATATAATATACAAACAATGAGACCAAGATATCCTATACCTAGAGAAGACTTGACCCCCCTTCCTACTACTATTCATTTGGTAGAACCTACACCAGAAATTCCTGTTAATGCAGCAGCTCAAAAAAAGGTAGCAAATGGAATAAAAATAGCTGAAAAAAAACTTACTGAATTTGAGCAAATTTACAATTTCACAACTGATTCTCAACTTCGTCATGATATGCATGTAAAAATAGCAGACCTTCAAGCCCAAATAAAATCTAATAAAGATAAGATTATCCAATTAAAAAGAAATGCGGAATATACTCAAAAATGCAAAGAAAAAAAACAGAAACTGCTTCTTGAAAGTCAAGAAATAATACTATATGATAAACCTGGTCGTCCACCACTCCTTTTCCAACATCCAGATTTACATGATCATATTCATGATTCAGTTGAGTTTGGATCAGCTGATGAAAAACGGCGAAAAGAAGTGGTTAAGGTGCGGATAATCAAAAATTTGCATAAGAATCTTGAAGAGAAATATAATGTCTACATGGCAAGAACAACATTGAATAACTACCTGCTGCCTCATCAATCCAACTCCATTGCTGCAAGAGCACACCATCATCCAGCATGGGTTGCAGTAGCCAGAGTTTCATGTGCTGAAACACGGGACCATCCTAATGGTCACTATTGTCTTGCATCTGTTAAATGTGCAAAACAATTTGCAACTGTCTTTGCTGATATGTCTGTTGTCATTTCTCAAGATGACAAGGCAAAGATAGGTCTTGGAGTGCCTGCTGTAGGTCGGACATTTCACACATTGCAGTCAGTTCATGAGCCTGCTTGTGTGGCTGATCATGATTTTCCTGTAGGAAGTGGGCAAAAGTTAGTTCCATCAGTTTATCTTATGATCAAACCAAATGAATCAAATGATGAATTACAAACAGGACAACTTGCCATTTTTGTACGTCGTCAATGGTCCCTTGGTATGTCTTCACACACACACATGCAAGATCTTAAAAGCCTCACCTTAGATCCTCAATATGATGATGTGTTGAAGACCAATGGAGAAATTCGACCTATTTGGGTGTTATTAGTAGATGGAGGACCAGATGAGAATCCAAGACATCTAAAAAACATTAAAACATACTGTCAACTTTTTCGAAAATTTGATTTAGATTACCTGACTGTACGAACACATACTCCAGGACAATCCAAGTATAATCCTGTTGAAAGGGGCATAGCAACACTATCTGGAAAATTGGCAGGTATCACACTACCAATTCATCACTATGGAACACACCTAAATACGCAAGGCAAAGTGATCAATCCAGATTTAGCCCTTCAAAACTTTCGATATGCTGGAGAGGCACTTTGTAATATTTGGCACCATGACTTGATTTTTGGAAAAAGTGTAGATGTGTGGTATGTTGAAGAGCTTGTTAATCCATTTGAAAACCTGCAGTTTGAAGGTACAGAAAAAGAAAAAATAGAAGAACAAAAACAACAAAAAAAGAAACAAGAGAAAGGAATTGACTCAACAGAATGTTTTGTGCCATGGTCATGGATTGAAAATCATTGTAACTTATGTCAATATTCTATTGATATTAAATGATGCATGAATAGGAGCTGTTGTGGACCATCTCGTGCAAAAGAAGCCATGGATTTTCTTCAATTAAATAATGGTTTTTTACCTCCAATCACAAAAGCTAGAGATGGACATTTCACAAACCCCATACATTTCCTTGAGTATTATGATCTTTTGAAAATTCCTGGGTATGATTTACATTGCCCATCTCTTGATCAAACAACCTATTCACGTTTTTGTTGTTCTGAGTGTAATAAATACTTTCCAACTCTTAGTTATTTGACAAATCATAAACGAACAATGCATCCTTCCAGCTGTGGGAAATCTAAAAAACAAAACTCAAGGACTCTTGATGATTTCTCTCTTCTCCCATCACAACAAAAGCAACCTCTCTTTGATGATATGTATCTAAGGGAATGTATATCAGATAAAGAATGATCAATTCAATTACAGCATTTATGTATGTGAACGTATATAATAATTATGTGTGACCTAAGTTATTCTGTTACCCCCCACCCCCTAAAATATTAGCTAATATATGTCAGCGCCCTTACAAAATCATTTAATTAATACATAGATATGTTGTACTGTAAAATAGTAAATTATAAACCACGGGAAACGAACATATAAATCGGGAATGATTTACATGTATCACGAAGTGAAAATTTGCAAACGATTATCACGGAATAACTCAACAAGAAATAAACCAGTACAATTTAATAAATGTTACACTAATTAATAAGGCGC